TTCCTATCCAGAGAGGATGTAAGTATTCACTGGTATTTTACTCTAATACTTTTCTTTACACTTAGCCTTCAATCCTTTTGATGCATATTTTAGAGTATGGCATGCGTTAAGGCTCTGCACTGACTTTTCCTCCAAATAGCTGAATGTTCTGGTATCGTCTCTTGATCATCCTTCCCTAGTGATGATTGCTGTCTCCTTTGTGTATATTGTACCTACAGGTGCACGTGCATCCCACAAGTAGTCTCTTTTCTGATCCATTTATTGATTTTGATGCCACCGTGACTTGGCTACTCTATAATCTAGAGTTCCGTCTTGTAGCAGTAGTAGGACTGTGAAATTATGACATCAAGTGAACCATAGGCAAAATTATATGAAAGACAATTTGTAAATACCAAGTTTGTTGTGAAGATAACCTGAGTCGGCACTGTGTTAGTACCCAAGTTTCAATTTGTTTTAGTGAACAGAGTCGTACCTGGGCTGCAGTTTTTGTACCACATTTTGGCAAGAAAACTTAACCTCAGCAAGGAGGCAGGAACTCCCTCCTCCCAACGTACAACACTGAGGGCCACTACTCTCAGAACTTACTGTCTGAGTTGCCCCCGCCCCCCATTGGTGACAACATTTGATAATTACAAGGCAATCCCTAAAAGGTCTATGTGTTTTCTAAAGTAAACCGAACGAGTAGCAGCTACGTGAAAGACACAGTTGGTGAAGGGAAAGGAACCAAGGAGCATTTGGAAGAGGTCCAGTAGTAGGCAAAGCTATCAAGAGCGTAGCACATGGTGACAAAGCAAATGTTTTTAAGAAAACCCGCACTGGGGGCGCCTGGCTGGCTCAGTTGTTAAGCATCTGCCTTCGGTTCAGGTCATGATCCCGGGGTCCTGGGATCGAGCCCCACATGGGGCTCCCTGCTCCGCGGGAAACCTGCTCCTCCCTCTCCCACTCCCCCTGCTTGTGTTCCCTCTCTCGCTGTCTCTCTCTCTCTCTCTCTCTCTGTCAAATAAATAAATAAATAAAATCTTGAAAGAAAGAGAAAAAGAGAAAGAAAGAGAAAGAAAGAGAAAAAAAGAGAGAAAGAAACAAAGAAACAAAGAAAGAAAGAAAGAAAGAAAGAAAGAAAGAAAGAAAGAAGGAAAGAAAGAAAGAAAGAAAAGGAAGAAAGAAAATCTGCACTGTCCAAGATGGCAGAGAGCCGTACGAGAACAACAGTGAGATCCCCCAGGCAATGGGGATCTCCCTAAGGGGCAGGGGTCACATGCTGAGTTCGCACTAGAGGAATTTCACAAAATCAGGAGACATGCTTCATATTAGAAAAGGTAATAGGAGTGAGCACGAGGTTCTGATTCTGATGGAAGGCAGAGCAGGCATGACTTCAAGAGGAAAGTATGAAGTTACTGAAGAGAGAGAAGATGTAATAATTACGGGGGCAAGAGTAGGAGGAGGAATTAGGATGGGCTCCAGAGTGCCAGCAGAAGGGCACGCTTCAGGGAGGTAACTAGAAGGAGTAAGACAGTCTAGACGTTCAGGTTAAGGGTCTGTTGTTCCCCAGATCCCGTCATCGAGAGGGGAACCTGGAGGAACAGGGGTATAAGATGTGGTCAATAAACACTTAAAAAAGTTCAAAATGAAAACGGTTTTGCCCTTTTCAAATTGGCAGGGATTTTTAAAAACTACAGTACATGCTGGCAGGGTGCGGTGACATACACATTCTCATATACCGCTGCAAGAATGTAAACTGGAAAGCCTTTTGATAAGTAATTCATAACACAAACCAAGTACCTTGAAAATTCATGTTCTACTTATTCTAGAAGGGGGGGGAGACACAGCTGTGGAGAAACATTTAGATGCAAGGATGCTCACAACAGTGTGAGTAATCACTATAAAAAGGGAAAAATTTAAATTTCCCACAACAGAGAAATGATTAAATTATGTATCTAGATGATGAGATGCTCAGTCATCGAAGACCATGATTTTGAAGAATTTTTAATGATTTGTAAAAATGGTTATGAAATAAAACTAAACAAAAATCGGTATACTAGGGGCGCCTGGGTGGCTCAGTCAATTCAATGTCTGCCTTCGGCTCAGGTCATGATGATCCCAGGGTCCTGGGATCGAGTCCCGCATCAGGCTCCCTGCTCAGCGGGGAATGTGCTTCTCCCTCTCCCTCTCCCTCTGCCCGTCCCCGGCCCCCGCTTGTGTTCTCTCTCTCAAACAAACAAATAAATAAAATCTTTTTAAAAATCAGTATAGGGGCGCCTGGGTGGCTCAGTTGGTTAAGCGACTGCCTTCGGCTCACGTCATGATCCTGGAGTCCAGGGATCGAGTCCCGCATCGGGCTCCCTGCTCGGCAAGGAGTCTGCTTCTCCCTGTGACCCTCCCCGCCTCGTGCTCGCTCTCGCTCTCTCTCTCTCTCTCTCTCTCTCTCATTCTCTCTCTCAAATAAATAAATAAAATCTTTAGAAAAAATAAAAAAATCAGTATACAAGTACATGACCATAATCTGTTTGTAGTTAATGTATAACTCCAAGCACGTATATACTTACATGCGTGCTTAAAAAATGGAAGTAAATACACTAAAACATGAATAGCGCTTTTCTCTAACAAGTGATTTTATTTGCTCCTTTACACTTTTCTGCCTGTTAAATCTTTTTCTGCAACCAACACACCATACTTGTATGATTAAAAGGAACTCTGCCAACAAGAGACATTATTTACAAGCCAGCAGGGAAGAACTCCCAGTTTCCTCCAGCCCTGGAGTTTAGAACTGCACGAAAGAATTGAGCTCCTATGCAAAACTGCCCGCTGCCTTGAATAGGGAGCCAGAAGGGACTTTTGTTCTGGGGTGAGTGGGGTTGAACTCGGCTTTTTGAACAGCAGGGAGGGGAAAGAGATGTAGAAAGCAGGATCGCGTATCAGCCCTGGAGGGTTCATTCACAAACAAGAAGAGGCGTGTGTCCCACCGAGTGAACACAGGTAACTGCCACATCTTAATTCAACTGAGATGGAGGGCGAGGAGGGGATACCACTGGCGGCTCGCAGAAGCTGGCTAGCTAGAGCACGGAGCACCTGTGCCCACCACCTCTGTGAACTGGTAAGGGAAGGCGCACTGCCTTAGATGCACCTGTAAGCCTCTGGAGCCAACTGCACGGGTCTTACTCCTGGCTCAACCACAGAGTTGCTGGGTGAATTTGGACAGATCACTTCGTCTTTTGGGGCCTCCATTTCTTCATCGGTGAAATGAAGATGATGGCAACTGCTACCTCAAAGGCTTTCTGTCCGATGAACTAAGCTGTAGAAGAGTACATATAACCGCATGCCTGGCACCCTGTAAAATGCTCTACAAGTGTTTGCTCTTGTTATCATCTGTTGCCACTACCTGCATACTGATTTGAGACGTCCTGAAATACAAACAGCGAATACTAAGGAGCTCGGCTCTAAAATGGAGAAAGTCATCAATCCGTCAGGGAGGCCCAGAATAATTAAAAACAAGAAGCTGGAGACTTGAGTGAAAATGAGGAACTTAAAGGGGACCCCCACATCCCAGCGCCATCAGTCTTCCTCACAGACCTGGGAGAACTATTTAGAAAATGTTATTTAAGACCCAATCAGCTGTATCTTGCACTTGGCTAAAAATGTTCCAGGACCGTTGTAGGTTTAGAGGAGATAACGTATTTTAGTTTTTTATTTGTTTTTTATTGGTTGGGTCATTACTTAACTTCAATCGAAAATTGTTTTAAAAACTCATAAAATGATAACATAATAAACGGAAATGTAACAAAGAAGCAATTAGCTTCTTAATTTGAGTTATTGTCTTTAAACTGTAACAGATAATTTGAAGTGCATTAAAATCTAACTGTTCCCTTGATTTGAACTGACATTTTCAGTTTTCTTTTTATTTATGTATTTATTAACATATAACGTATTAGTTGTTTCAGGGAAATAATGTATTTTAGATGACCTGAACTTCACCATTTGTCCCACCGGTACCACTGCAAGGAATTTATCCACAGGAGCCAGCCCTGACAAGTCTACAAAGATGTAGTATGAGGTTGTTTGATTTTGGTGTTATACAGAATAATGAAAACCTGGAAACAACCTCCTCATCGATTGTGGATTGGGGTAGATGGATTATGACATGCTGGTAAGGTGGAACGCCATGCAGGCATTAAAGGGGATGAGTTTCCATATCCACCCATCTATGTACCGCCCACGGAAAGCTGTCCAAAACACATTATTGAAGGCAAGACAGCAGGCAGAGGATCACAGCGTGTACCTCAGAGTAGCCACATCTCCACGTGTAGTTGTGCAGAAAGAAAGGGATTAGAAGAACGCTTATTTACAAAGGCAGATGATGATCGTCTCCGGGAGGTAGGATTTCAAGACATTTGTGTTTTTTTCTTTATGTCTCTCTCTCTCTCTCTCTCTCTTTTTTTTTTTTTAAGTTTCTAGAATGAGCATGTATTATCTTTGTCATAGGCAAATCCGATTGGGTAAAAAAAAATCTTTTGTCAAATGAAGGAACGTCTTTAAAAACAAAACAAAACAAAACAAAACCAAAAAACACAAAATGCAACAAATAGTTTCCTTTGTCACCCTCCTTCCACGGCTTTCTTTGGGGTCGAGTTGCCATTATTAAGTATGGTATTCTTCGGACTGGGATGTAAATGTCCTGTGAGGGAGAATGCAATTGGGAACATCTCACCCATAATTATGAATGCTGAATCTACCCAGGTAGCAGAGGACAACAAACACGCCACACAACGTTTAGAATTCTTCAAATACTCATTGTTTCTTCTCAGGACTAGAGTTGCAAACTCTATTTCAATCCAGGGCCTCCAAGGGGTCAGTTTTCACTTTCTGTGAATGGATCAGGAATGCGTAGCTCCCATGGGGGATACAAAATAAACCTAAAACGGCTCTCACTACCAGGAATTGAAAAAGGCCATGCACTCTTTTGTTGACCAGAAGGATGTCAACTCACCTGGCTTTCACTCACTCACCTGGACAGAAACCTCATGGCACTTCTCTTTTCAGCATCCATGGTTCCTCTGCTGGCCGTAGCCGGGAAATCATGTCTGGTTTGGAGACCGGAATCCCTGGTTTTTGAAAAACAACGGGGACTTAGCTATTTGTGCTGGGTACACAGTGGTGTCCCAGAGATCCATTCTAATCACTTGGCCTTCAGGAGGAAACGGCATTCTAGGACACCCCACAGAGTGGTACCAGGAGTATGTCCACAGGGCCCAATCTGACTTCTAAGGAGGACCGGAGGGAAGGAAGGCGGATGGGTGTGGGAGAGAGAGTGGGAGACTGTCCGCGGCGAGGAACAACTGGCTTTGCCTTCCCAGACAGACTGGAAATCTGGGCACATCTCCGGTGGAGTCTGACCGAGAAGACCAGAGGACAGAGAGACCAAAGTCTCTGAAGCAGCATAAGGAGGTTTATCAACAGCCCCATTTGCCACTGGGCTTGCAAAAGGAAAAAGAAACGGACACTATCAATCAGTTTCTGGTTCCCAAGAAAACACAAATCTGAGCCCTGGCTCCCCATCTTCAGCCCATAGGGTCCACAGAAGGTGCGCTGCCCTTACCCAGGGGGTCAGTGTCCTGTATTTTCCCCAGCGTCCCTGCCTTACCTACATCCCTCTGAGCAAGGTCCGGCTAACTCCTACCTTCCCGGCAGAAGTCTGAGGGCACATCTGTAAATATCACAGACCCCCTAAAAGACCCAAACCATTCCTACTTACCCTGAGCCTCCCTGGGGAAGGCTGGAATTGGTAGCATTGTGGGAAGATGGACAGGAAGGTCTCCTCTGCTCCAAGCCCAATGCTTACTGAGCACCTAGTACGTGTCTGAGTGCTTTACTCCGTGGAAAATACAAAAAAAAAAAAAAAAAAAAAAAAGAGCAGACACATCTCTCTCGAGCAGAACGTCGTTTAATCAGGAAAGAAAAGGGTTCAGGCAGATTCCAGTGAGCCCCTACATGCTGGGCGTGGTAAGATGGGAAATTCAGCCGCGAGGAACTGGCTTGATTGGCCCCTTGGTGTATGCTGAGGACTCCCAATTCCAATCCCTCCCAGCCCCAGCTCTCTCTGCCTGCTCAATAAATATTTGTCAAGCGAATAATTAAAACAATTTGAGAACAAAAGCCCTGAGTACAAAGTCCAATGACTAGTTTTATTGTAGAGAGCATAAGGCCTGCTGGAACAACAGAGGAGGAAGAGACGTGGGGGTGGTGACAATGGATGTGACTGAGAGTGGATTTATGAAGGAGGTGGTCTTTAAGGGAGCGTGAGACTTGGATGGGACACTTCACACCTTTGGCCCATGGCATCGGAAGTCCTGACCACAGCAGTTAGGTCCCTTCATCTGCTATTGCTTTGCAGAGAGGGATCCCCACTGCCAAACCTTCTGTTGGATTCCTGCAACTGTCTTATAACTGGATTTCCTGCCACCTCTAACCTCATGTCCTACCATTCCATTGTCTAAAGATTTTATTTATTTATTTGAGAGAGAGAGAGAGAGAGAGAGAGAGAGAGAGAAACAGCATGAGAGGGGAGAGGGTCAGAGGGAGAAGCAGGCTCCCCGCTGAGCCGGGAGCCTGATGTGGGACTGGATCCCGGGACTCCGGGATCATGACCTGAGCCGAAGGCAGTCGCTTAACCAACTGAGCCACCCAGGCGCCCCTACCATTCCATTGTCTAAACCAGAGCGGCCATCTGAAACGCAAACCGAGGCACAGCACGCGTCTTTTTTAAAAAAAATCCTCTGCAAGCACTGCTTCTAAGATGAAACCACATTCCTTCAGGTGATATTCTAGACCTTTTCCAACCTGGACCTGATGTACCTGTCTGGTCTCATCTCCTCCGACGCCTGCCCGCACAGACTCCACACTCCAGCAAAACAGTCCCTTTCACCGTTCTCTGAATGCGTCTGTGATGCTCATTTAAGTTTCCAGTGCTTTTGTGGTTGCTTTCAAACACATTCAAGTTCAAAGGTAATTACCGTCTGACCTTCAAAACACCCTCACTGTCTCCTTGAGGAATTAAAACATCTAGAACCTCATAATTACATGCATAAGTGGAAGAGGTTAGATACGATGACAAAAATAGATACACAAATGGACAAAAAGATTAGAAGGGAATGCACGAATATGAGACAAGTGTTGTTGAGTAGTAGAATCATAAACAGTTTCTTCTCTTCTACGAGAAGAAGTATGTTCGTGTTGCTATAACATATTTTTTACTAATTAAAAGAAAAAAGAGAAAAAGAAAAAAAGCCCCAGCAAAGCAACAGTGTACCAAATGAGGGCGCCTGGGTGGCTCAGATGGTTGGTTAAGCGTCTGCCTTCGGCTCAGGTCGTGATCCCAGGGTCCTGGGATCGAGTCCCGCATCGGGCTCCCTGCTCCTTGGGAGCCTGCTTCTCCCTCTGCTTCTCTCTCTCTCTCTCTCTCTCTCTCTCTCTCTCTCTCTCCTCCTCTGCCTCTCATGAATAAATAAATAAAATCTTTTAAAAAAAATAGTGTACCAAATGATAGGAGGCTTTAAGGTAAAGAATCTGCCTTGGGGACAATTATGCAAGTGAAAGGGCAGAGTGGGCTGGATTTACCCCAGACACCATCATGGAAGAGAAGAGTTTTGAGTTAACAGTAGGAGGGAATGGTCTGAACCACGTCACAACAACTAGAAGGAGCAGAAGGCTTGTGCTCCAAAGACACAACCAAGACCGCTGCCTATAAGAGGAGGGTCAGGGACTAGAATGGACCGGCTCTGGGAGCACAGGCAAATGGATGGAAGTCAGACAACTCCTAGACAAGAGATCATGCCACCACACTTGGTGCCCAGTGGCCACCAATATCTAGAAATGGTACATGGCTGGTACCTGAGAACACACTGGTTTTGCTGCAGTTACGAGGGCTATATCCTTGGGGGTTGGGGGGGGGAACAAAACAAACAAACAAACAAACAAACAAACAAACAAAAAAAGTAGTGAATTCCCAAGGGAATATTATTCCTTTGGGAACAGCAGGAGTTTCTGAGGATGAGAGGAAGCAGGAAGGAAAATAATATTTGTGGAGTGTCTCTACACATGCTAGGCACCACGGTCAGAAGTTACATAGAGGGTAGGCCATGAAACCTTCACAACAACCCTGTGAGGTAGGTATATACACCTCTTAAACCCTTTCATAGCAGAAATACGTTCAGAGTGGTTCTAGAACTTGCCTAGCACCTAGCATGTGAGTGACAGAGTCAATGAGTGCCCGTGTATATTTCTGAGCAACCTGAAAGGGAACACAGACACAGGAAAGTTGATCGTATTGAACAGTGAGATCACGGGTGCTTTCCCGATGACTTCTGTATTTCTTAATGTTGTCATAATCATGTTAAGGCAGTTTCTTTTGACTGTAAATTAAAAAGGAATTAGTTTGAAAAAAGATCTTGAAATGCCAAAAAAAAAAGGAGCAGTCATTAAACTCTATAATCAACTTTTTACAAATAAGAGAAAGAAAATATATGACAGTTCCCCGAGAAGCCATTAGTTTGATGGATTCCTAAATGTCCTCCTCACCGCCCCCCCATACCCATTAATGTGATCTGAAGTCCAGTTTAAAAAATTTAAGGATTAGGATTCAAGTCCCAAAAGTCAACTGTTAAAATTTTTCGAGTCATTTTTAGAGAGATAAAATAATAAAAGCAAGATTTTTAAAAACAATGGAGATCTTGAAATGCCAGGAAAAAAAAAAAAAGCAATCATGAAACTCTATAATCAATTTTTTACAAATAAGAGAATGGAAATATATGACAGTTCCCCGAGAAGCAGCCGGAGGCCAGGAATCTTGGCTCAGATAGCTGAAGCACTGCAGGGATTGATGCCCCTTGCCAACAGGGCAGGAGAGAATCTGGATGCTGGTGTTCCCAGAGGCGAGAGAGTTTTCAAAGTGAAGCTTCTAGAGGAGCTGGCTTTGTCAGAGGCTGCATCCTTGCGTCCTACATCACATTCTAAATGCAAACAACACAATTTTATATGATGGGGACAATGACGGCTAAAACGGTTTATGCTCTGACTGGTCCATGAAATGCAACTGAACCGATTATTCTCATCTCCGCGAAGGAGCTGAGTCCTTTGAGCCGCATCTCTCAAACTGTGCCTCAGGTGGGTAAATCATGTTTAACAAGTGAGCCTAAACCACGGAAAGCAATAGTTTTATTTAGATCTCAAAGCCTCTGAAAGTCTTGTGCCAATTCATATGCCCGACACAAGAAATGGAGATAAAACTTGAAATCTATTCATTTATTTTTTGCTCTAAATCCACTTCCCTGGTCTTGAAAAGAGTCACACTGATAACAGATTTGTATATCTGAATTTATACGCAATGTGGAGTGTTGACAAACCGGCGCCGGGGTAGGCTCAGTCGGTTGACTGTCCGACTCTTGGTTTCAGCTCAGGTCGTGATCTCAGGGTCATGAGATGGAGCCCCGCCTCGGGCTCTGTGCTCAGCAGGGAGTCTGCTTAAGGTTCTGTCTCCCTCCGCCCCTCCCCCAACTCATGTAAGTAAATAACAATCTTTAAGAAAAACTTGCCACTTTGAAAATTGACCTAAATTTCTTAATTTTAAAATTCACCTAAAATCACAGTAAATAAACACCTGCTTTATCGTGGCTAGTACAATAAAAGATGAACTCTTCTTCTGCTTGTTTTCTTGCATCCAGTGAAAACAACTGGCTGGCGCCAGAAACCAAGCGTTTCCCCCAGGTCTCTGCACAGGCCTGACCAGGTTGTGCCTCCCTAGTGGACCACAGGAAACCCCGCAGGAATCCATGAGCGACTACTTGAGCCAACTGTCCCAGAAAAAAAAGTGGGGGCTTTTTTCCCTCCTTTTACACATTGGCAAAGTACTGTAACTTCGGTCTTTGAAACCCTTCTTACGTGTAAAACAACAGATTCTCGGAGGGCTTCCTGAGGCCCACTAGTGGTTTCTCATTTAGGTCATACAAGGGCTGTGATTTTGCCAGGTTTCTGAGCTAAACAAAACAAAACAAACAAAACCCAAACCAACCAAACCAAAACAACAACAACAACAACAACCACCACCACCACCACCACCACCACCACCACCACCACCACCCCAAACCACACACATACACACAGAACCACATCAGGTCACTTTGGGTCTTCCCTCCTCAAAACACCCTCTAGGCCTGCCCTAAAATACTGCCCGCAACATGGCGATCTTCATTCTAAACTTCTTCTCCCTGCTTCCTGATGCATACACGGCAAGGTCCCGTGAAGCTGACTGCCAAGCGTGTACACACCTACCGTGAGGACATCGTGTTGCGTGAAAGAAGCCAGACACAAAAGGACACATACTATCGATTCCACTTAGCAGAGCAAGGTCACAGAGACTGAGAGTCAAATGGTGGTTACCAGGGGCTGGGGGTGGGAGGGAGGCGTGGAGTCAGTGTTTAATGGGGACGGAGATTCAGTTTGGGAAGACGGAAAAGTTCTGGGGACGGGTTGTGGCGATGGCTGGGCAACAATGTGAATGTGCTTAATGCCACCAAGCTGTACCCTTAAAAATGGCTAGAACGGTAACTTCTATGTTATATGTATTTTGCCACGATAATTTTTTAAAAGAGTGTAAACACCATCTGGGTTTATACTTATGTATAAACCTAGATTTGTGCCCCGACATACCTTCTCCTCTAGCCTGTCTTCTCACTAGTCCTTGAAAAGAACCGTTCATTTCCGTCCCTGAGCCTTTGCCATATACTCTTCTCTAGCCTGGAAACTGCCCGACTGTCACTTCTAGGTCTCTAAAGGCAGCTGAAGTTTCTCCTTCTTTTGTTCCCCCTAGTACTACCTGTTCGAACTT